CCTACTCTCCACAAGGAATGTAATAATGGTGCATTGCAAGCACATACTGAGAAAAATAAAACTTTTAAAAATTATCAGCTTCTCAAAAGGTTGAGCTAGGTTCTCAAGTTTGAGGTCAGCTTGGGCAACCTAGTGAAATCACATCTGAAAATAAAAATAAAAAAGTAATAGGGGTGGAGATGTAGCTCAGTGATATAGCACTCCAGGTTTAATCCCAGTAACACGCACAGACAGCCAGACAGAGACAGACAGACAGACTCTCTCTCTCTCTCTCTCTGTCTCAGTCTCTCTCTCTCTCTCTCTCTCTCTCTCTCTCTCTCTCTCTCTCTCACACACACACACACACACACACACACACACACTGGAGACTTCCAGTTTATGTGTTCCTGCCTTCACCTTGTGTCTTCACTTGGAACTGCACCAATAGAGTCCAGTCTTTTGTGTACAAATCCAAACCAGGGCACCAAGGCCCCACTGTAAGAATACTCTCATTCTCTTGGGGCATCTTGAGTCCCGTTGGCTGAAAACAGGCTAGCTACAAGAATGTCTGTGATGGGCGGCCTGTAACACGGCTAAAGTCACAAAGATCCTCACCTCTTGATATTTTCTTCCTGTAACAGATCTCCCTATGACTATGAACTTCCCACAGATGACACAATGCAAGAAAAGGGTTGGGGTATCACTCCCAATATGAAATTATAAAGGCTGTGGCCTTCATTTTGTTTGTTCTCTCTTCGTCCACCTCCTCCTTCAATCTTTTCCTCATCTCCTAACTTTCCCTTTTTTCTTCTTTCCTTTCTCCTCATCTTTTTCCTTTTCACTTTTTCTCTCTCTTTCTGTTTCTCCTATCTTTTCCACTTCATATGGAGACACATGTGGCCACAAATTGCCATCTTCCATCAACAGAGAACTGAGGACTACAGCTTAGACTCACTCTGAGCACTCCAACCTCACGTTGGCAGAAGATGCTCCAAAATGGTTAAGATTCAGGTTTAACTCAGCCCTGGCCAAAGCCTTGGCTATTTCTTGTGAATGTCACTGTAAGTAAGAGTCACCCGAATCAGCCACTGCCAGTTTCCTGACCTACAGAAATGATGACAAATGAACTGTTACTTGCTTAAATCTGATTTATATGGGTTTATAATGCTTGTGAAATGTTATTAAATGATTGAGAATCTATCTATCTATCTCATGGTGACCTCTGAAAATGTATTTAAACGCCAACTTATTCCTCATGATGCATGTGCTGTGAGTCCCTCTTTCTGCTGCAATACCCCCCACCCAAATATTTTGTTCTTAGTCATATTCAGGCCCCAGCTTAGAATCATGCTTATCAGAGAAGTCCTCAGCAATCCCAGATCAAGTACTTCTCTGTTTGTCTCATTTGTCAAAATCTGAATGATGTCTTTGAAGTCGTTCTTGCTATTGGCAATTATTGGGTCCTTTTATGTATTTCTTTATTGTTATTTTTTTGGGGAAAATTTAACCAGGGGATGTCTGTTTCTTTTGTACAGTTTGCTACAGATAATTTCCAACTTATAATGGACACACAATGATTTTTTTAACTTTATGGTGGCATGAATGTGACATGTATTTGGTAGAAATCATACATTGACATTTGAATTTTGTTCTTCTAAACTTGTAATACGTGTTGTGATATTTTCTCTCTCCTACAGGCAGCAGTGTCCAACCAGAACTCCCAGTCAGCCATGCAACCCTGAGAAGGGAAACAAGTCACTTTGTACTCGACAGGATGCTGTATTTGATAGGCTACAAGAAATAGTTAAAAATTTCTTAAGACTGGTTTAGAGGAACTGGAAATACAGCTCAGTACAAGAGTTCTTGTCCAGCATGTACATGACCCTGTGTTCCATTCCCAGTGCCTACAAAATTGGCTTAGTGTTAAGTAATCTTGTCCAACTTTAGGATAATGTACGTATTCCTAATGTTAAAGGCAGATGAGGATAAATTAAAATATTCAGTAATTTAAGTACATTTTTTGTATTTTCAATTTATGATATGTTTACCAGGACATAACCTTATTGTAAAATGAGAAGTGTCTGTGATATTATTTTGGAAATTGAATATTAATACAGCTGAATTTCTGGAGTGAGTGTATAGGTTTTGAATTTTGTCATGTGCAGACTCTTGTGGAATCTGGGCAACATGAGAACCATTTAATATTTCAGCCCCATGAATATGACTTCTCAGCTGTCAGGATATAGAACAGCATTATTTTCCTTAAATTTCTTTTATCCATCCCCATATAAAAGAAAGTAGTTTTTAAATCTCTCTTACTTACAACTGTACCCAAAAGTGCTAGAGTAATAGCTGGTCCAGGGCAGGCATTTGGAAAATATACATATATGTGAGTATTTATATATAAATGATGGAAATTGATATTATAAGGGCTACCAGAAGGGAACTGTGCTGACATTGTGGCCTCTATTTCTTAACACGAAATGGGACTGAGATCATTTGGCTGACAAAATCCTAAACAATTTTATTGGCACTGGTAGTATCTCTCACTCCATAGGGAGGTGGAAAAATAAATAAATGCTCCCATTTCAACTGGGTCCAGGTGTACCAACTTCATGAATTTCCCAGAAGTACCTAGGCTATAATAATTTTCCAGGTCTCCACCATTCCAGCTGTCTTCCAACCAGCACTGTGGCCTCTTTCATGCATATGATGGAATAATAGAGAGAACTCACAAGGGAGAACTGTATTTCATCTCCCACATGGTTTTGATTTACTCCTCAATGACCTTAATCAGACTCATGGACTCCCCATGGCAAAGTCCACTATTCATCAACTCTATAATTTACTCACCAGAATATCCACCAGAAAGTAGATTTTCCTCACCCTCCTACTTATTTCTAGATATGCCACAAAACCAAGTCTTGAGGTTGGCTTATTGATCTTAGAAGCTGGAATTTATTTATTTTGGAATACAAGTAGCAAAAACAAATTAGTTACAAAATTATTTAAGACCATTCTGCTTAAGACAATGTAGACTTCACAGCACCATTTGAAAATGTCTGGCCGCTTCCAACCCTCTACTCACTCTATTTTAATTGTAAGACTCCAAATGAATGTCTGGATTACTCCACAGTAGACATAAATATAATTTATCGCTTGCCTGGGGACTTGAGATTGTTAAAGTGAGAAAAATTAGAGAAAAAGTAAAGTGACACCTAAATACAAAATTAATACATGTGATTTCTGTTATGGACAGTTTTATCACTCATCTGCAGGCATGAAAGCTAATTTGGACATCTCAGCAGCTGCTGTAGAAATGCATGACTTAACTGATTAATATCTTCCCTTTGGCAATGAAGGTACATGTCAACCAGGTGGTTATTAATCATTTTTGTGTGTTCCCTAAATCTTTCTCTTCTTCTTCCTTTTTTCTCTGAAGTTTTCCTTCTCATATCTCATCCCACTCACTTAGAAAATATAGCAGGGGCACATATTTCTTCCCTTGGCTCGATGACTTCAGTTCCTGGATGTCACATTAACTACCTGCTTCTTAGGAAGGTCAAACTCTCAGGTTGATTTCTAAAGCCTGTCTTGATGTGGAGTTCATTAAAGCCTTTGCTATACCTGAATTTTTGCCTTCTCAAATGGATTGTGTAACACTTTTCATACTGTTTTCTTTGAGAGGTTCTTTTTCATTATCTCATGGAGAGCAGTATCTTATTCTTTGAATTTAGAATTACCTTTCCCAGTGTGTTATTTAGGATTCTGTAGAGGAAAAGAATCTATATAAGATATTTGCCCAATTATGCAAAGTGATTTATTAGGTAGGCTTACTGGATCAGAGGCAGAAGAGTCATAAGGGCCATCTGTGGGGTCAGAGTTGGAAGAATCCAAAATAGCTCTCTGTGCACTGAGGATGCAGGGAATTCAGTAGCAAAGATTAAAGGCCTGGAAGTTCACTGTAGAGTACCAGTGCAAGTCTTCATTGGAAGGCTGAAGAGTGCACTGAAAAGCTGGATAACCTAGAGACCATGTCGAAAGGCAATAAATACAGAACACTGGAACTTTTCCAGATAAAATGTGGGAAAAATTTCTTCTTTCTTTTCTAAGTGTACCCAGGACACAAGTCTGTTGGTTAGTGCCACCCATGTACTAGTTGGGTCTCCCGTGATGTTTGCTGCCCTAAATGTCAATCATCCACTGATCCAACCAGAACTTATAAATCTGCAATGCAGTTCTTAGTCACGTCAAATTGACATATCATAGTGAATGATCACATCCAGGAAACGTGCCTAACACTCCACTCCAGATTCTCTTGAGTCTGTCATATCCCAGCTTTTCCTTCATGTTTACAAATCCATTTATGATAAAGATGTCACCTCTATCTTTTCCCACCTTTAATGATAAACTCCAAACTATAGAGATGCTGTCTTCCTTACTCACGACTGTGGCCAGCACCAAATGTGAAGTCCAGAATAGGTTATTCAATAGAGTCATTTGACACATAGGATA